ATTTATCTAACATTTAATTATTATTTTAACGCAACTTTCCTTTGATTTCCGTTTTCAAACTTCTTGACAGAATGTTAATAATCTAGCGCGCATGCATTCAAATGAGGTACAAAGAAGTTGCATTTAAGGGAAAGTTTTGGAAGGTGATTTTAGAGCGTGTTGTGCCCGCTTGAAGGCCACGTTGCTATCTTGAATAATTAGCGATTCGATTTCTGCGGCGCTGAACGCTTCTAGCCATTAAGCTTGATTACGTCGACCTTCACGAGCCATCCTGCGTGTTAAATTACCCTGTGAGCCGTTAGGCAAAACTTACTACATTTAAGTAGATCGTTACTTTTTTCATTTAAACCAAAAGTGCTGGCTTTTGTAAGCACGAGGCGATGCCATCTGTGATCATACTGAAATAATAAGGATTTTTTACACTCCTCTCTGGACTTTGTCGTACTTAAGAGTTGAGATAATTCTTCACACGGTCTTCTAGTGTCTCGTTAGTTTATGCTTGCGAAAACACGAGGCCCTATAAAGTCCAAGCGACTGCGTGGTCAGAAATTATTGCTGCCTATGTCATAGGAATGTTAAAAGTGATTCAATTAATCAAAAAAAAAAAAAAAAAAAAAAAAAAAAATTGAAAATCTGTTTATGTCATTTTAAAATAACTATTAGTATTTTAATTATTCTTTCCTATGGATTCTTCCATTTTTTAAAATACATCGATTCGCTTCTGGAAAATATACATTAGCTTTAACTAAAACAAGAGGAATTATAACATTTGGTATTAATAAGATTTATGTGACACTGCTACCACATTCTTACCAGACAGTGAATTACCTAATTGTGGATTTCCTGTTATGGGTTATTCAACTGCATTTTACCTAACTTTGACTAACACACTACGAGGGAGACTAGTGTTCTTTCAACGCAAGAGTTATATAGCTAAAAATAATTACTAAGGCAGTAATGCAGTAAAGACCTCATTTTGTTCTAACCACTTATTTTTATTTTCAGAAATTTTCTTTTTTCTTCTAAATTCAATTTTCTGCCAGAATGCAAATTTAATGACGTATATGCAAATCTAAGTGAATTCGAAAATAGTATTTAAGTAGCAGATTTTAAGAATTCGAGGTGTAAGGAGAGTTAGTTCTGAATTTATGCTGCGTTTGTCTGAAAGAAGCTCTGTAATTGAATAGTTGGTGTCAGCATCTACTTTAGATTATACTGATATTCTAGGCTCGGCTTTGCTGTGTGCAGCCGATCAACCGATTTAAATTGAGTAGGAACCAGTCGTGTAGCTTAGACGTTAATTCAATGTAACAGTATACTGGAAAAAAAGGGGGGAGAAGTTCTATAACTCCCGTTCGACTGGGCCGATTGACAAAATTCAAACTGCGTTTTTCATGTCTCGAAAGGGCGACTTAGGATATATATTAGATTTATATATAGCACAGTTCTAACATAGATATTTTGACACAAAATCGGAATTTTTTCTGAAATAACAAACCGATTTTTTTCTATATTTCGATTCTACGACTCAAATTATGCCTAGATATTAAATTTTGTAATTTTTGATGAGAAATTTATGGAGAAATTAAAAAATTTATCTTGGCACGTTTTTTCAGTTTGCGCTAAGAATAATCATTTGGCTAAATTCTGATTTATAGCAACCTACTTACTTACCGTTTTTTGAGCGGAAAGAAGGTCCATCGTTCATTTTTCAAATAATTTTAACTATGTACGTAAATCGCATTTTCGTTATTATCGCTTATAATAAATACGCCAATACATAAATTCATGTATATCTTAGGAAATTTTGAATAATTTTTTGCAGCTGTGCCAAGAAATACATCTGATGAGATGATGTTAAAAATTACTTTAAGATGATGTTAAAAATTTTACAAGTTATAATACAAAAAGTGTTTCGAAAAATTTCTTAAAAATATTTATACATACAACTTTTAAAAATAACTCATAAAAAAAGCTGCGAATTATATTTGGATTAAGCCTAATTTTTCGAAAAAGCCTAATTTTCTGGAAGAAGGAATCAAGTAAATTGAATAAAAAGAGATATTAATAAATACATATCAAACTTAATTAACATTGAGGAGCTAAAATTTTAGTGCTAATTTTTTAAACTGCTTGCGCGATTTTTACAAAACTTGGCAATTTTGCATAATTTTAGGCGTAGAATCGAAATATGGAAAAAAATTGCCATGTCATTACAAAAAAAGCTCGATTTTGTACCAAAACACTTAATTTATAGTAAGATAGTTATGTAAGATATTTATAATATAATATGCTTTCGAATTTACTTTTAATCACTTTTATTTTGAATTTATATTGAGACAATGCTATTTATAAATCTAATATATATCCTAAGTCGCGCTTTCGACACGTAAAAAACGCAAGTTGAATTTCATCAATCGGCCCAGTAGAACGAGAGATACAGAACTCCCCCACCGTTTTTTGCGCACGGTGTAAATACCATTCATTCTGTGTTAAGTCACTTAGCCACAAGTGGTAGTTAAATTGTGAGTACCGAGTGAGTGCATTTCCCCTTCCGTTTAGTTAAAATAAAAAGATTGTTATAAGCTTCTTCTGAAATCATCTCTCCTTCCAAGCCATAGCGAGAATTCGCTATTTCGCCTTTCAGTAGGGTGGTGGTGGTGTATTTAATTATGGCAAAGCACACTAGGGATATCTGCGTAAGGGGAGGGATGTCTTCGTGGAGGACTTTCTAAGGAAAATTGGCTCGTATACACGTTACACATGGGGAAAACCACGAAAACACCCATGCAGCCAGCCCGTTCGCGGGATTCGAACCTCGGACCGAACTACCAGTGTTCAGCGACTTTACCGCTCGGCCGCTGGTGGGCGCCCTTTCAGTATGGTCTACAGTTTATGTTCCCAGAACACACAAGAAGACTCTACAAAATGCAACAGTTCATATTGCTGAACTTATTGGAAAGTTCAAATTTTATTTGAGATCTGAAATTTCGTTGTAGTTAGAATATATTTCTTATTCTATTTTAATGAGAGCTAAGCAAGAATAAATTAAAATAAATTGATACAAAACTATTAAATGTGGTCAAAAACATTCAGCTATTTTAAATTTTCAAACGTAAATAATCCATTTACTTGAGATGAGATTAAAAATTCTTCATTCTAATTACCTACATTGTTTAAATAACCTCCATATCAAGCTTGCCTCATCATGCAATGTCATAAGGAAAAAGGTCATACAAAGAAAAAAAAAAAAAAAAAAACACTGAAATGTTTCAGATTTTAAATTACGTCCAAAGGGGCGTTTTTTTAACGTTTTGAGTGTTACCTTTATTTATTAAATATCATGTTCTTTGCACTTAAACCATAAAATTCAGTTCAAGAGCAATATCGCAAAATAATGTTAAATTAAGCATATCTTTAGAATTTCCGATATACACAGTCTCGCGAGCTGGAGATAAAAGTATATTTTTTTTATATATATAACGTTGCCATTTCTCGCTTTTAAAGCATTGAGTTTGTAAATCAAAAATTCGTTAAAGTTTTACAAAATATAAAATCTATAATAAAACAAATTCCAAATTTGGGATTTCAGATGCCCATATTCGCAGTAGGATTTCGTTTCAAACAACACATGTTTTATTAATAAAAGTTTTCATCAAAAATAAATAATACGATTGTGATTACTTACAGAAAATATTTATTGCTGCTAATAATTAAATCTCGAATTCTATACATGAATAACGCAAAATAAGGCTCTATGTACCATTGTCGATGGCTCTATGTACCATTTCGATGGCTCTATGTACCATTGTTTTATCACAATGCGAGAAATAGACAATCATTTATGCAGATTTTTCATTATTTAATTTCTTCAAATATAATGCAGGACTCTTAACATTTTGTGGCAACAGTTTGAAAAGTGAACCGACGTTTATGACTCCGACGCAAAATCGCAGGGACAAAGCCCCTTTGGACTAAAAAAGAGCTTTTAAAAATATAAAAAGGAATTGAATGAATGATTGAATTTCACTAGGATATCCCTTTTGGACTGTTTACGTCGTTTATTTTTGCAGAGTTCCAATAAAAGTTTCAGGTTTCTAGTTAACTTATAATGACTTTGTTAAAAATTTAATAGACCAGAAACATGTTTAAATATTACATTTTATTTATTTATTTACTCTCAGTATTTCTTCATATTGCTCGCAGTTAGAAATACTTACAACACATGTTTTATTAATAAAAGTTTTCATCAAAAATAAATAATACGATTGTGATTACTTACAGAAAATATTTATTGCTGCTAATAATTAAATCTCGAATTCTATACATGAATAACGCAAAATAAGGCAAGCCAGTTTTCAATAGCATAAATTCTATCGATATTTCAAAATGCAATTAAAGTGCAAAAATAAACGAATCTTTTCACAACCAATTTTGTTGTATTTCTAAGATGCAATTAATTCTCGACAAATTTATTTTAGAACAATTACAACCCATAAACGCAGCAGAGGAAGAATATTACTGATGTAAATAAAGATTTAATATTGAAGAAAAGTAATAAATTGTTAATAAATACGTTTAGAAGACTGCCATGCATTAAATACATTCATATGTAAGCAAATACACGTAGGAAAAAATATACCATTTCCAAACTTGCGAATATTTAGAAACGATTTTTTTTTCCAAAACGATGAACAAAATTTAAATATTTATCAATAGAAAATAACAATAATAATAATGCAAAATGCATTGAAATATCTGAACAAGAATTTAAAATAAAAATCAAAAGAATCGGGAAAAATACACTTCGAAAAATAAATTATAGAAATGTATTCCAATTATTTTTTCTTGGATTGATTTTCGTTAAGTATCTTTGCAGAGATATATTTTCCAAATAATTAATAATCAAAATAAAATACAGAATAACTTAATGAACTCTTGATCTATAATAATAATAATAACAATAATAATTAAAGAAGATTTTTTAGCATTTCACTTACAGCTCGGAGTATTTCAACAAGACGAATGACAAGCGACTAGGCCGACGTCTGGTTGGTTAGGGTTTAAAAAGTTGCCTACTTCACTTTCCCCTACCGCAATGTACCTTACGTGTCTTCAAACACGTGGGCAAAACCACAACATACAGGCTGAAACAGATCGTCTTGACCTCAGAAGACCCTTTTATTGCGCAAGAACGGTCACTAACCCTTAAAATTTATGATGACTCTGATGGCAATCTGCAGCTCTTTTCTCCAATCGAGGCGCAGCACCTAACATGAAGGCTACGTTTTGGGGGAAAACACTGACGCTGCTTCTTGACCTTGGATCCGCCCTCTCCAAGTCGAGAGGTATGATGTAGTTTATCGGTCGCCCGGTGTGGCAATGACAACAATTCGCCTACGCGCGCTGAGCTTTTTAAGACAGTCATCGTAATAGTGCTGTCTCTATTCTGTGGTATTAGGACGCTCACGTGCATCCACCCAAGCTGATTTACCTGATGATGATTCTAATACTCATGAATATCCTGTTCCTGCAAGACGTAAGGATCTCGTGTGAAGAGCTCTAGCAATCATATAAGAACATGATTGTGAAGTAATCCGTTCAACAAATTAAATAGCTTAACAAAACCGTTTTATCAGCCTTTTTTTTTTTTTTTTTTTTTTTAAGAAATAAGGCTGAAATTAGCCCAATCATTGCATTCTGTAAAATAAACAGCTCAATCACGCTATTCTAAGAGGAAATATTGCGTCGATGATTGAAAACTAGAATTTGGAAAATTTTTAGTAATCTGAAGTTACCGAAACGTTGCACAACTATCTGAGGATAACCTACTCTTTTTCCCAAACAAAACAACAGCCACACACACACGAAAAAAAAAAAAAAAATAAAAATAAATAAATAAAATAAACTACTATAGCCACTAGCTATTCTCTTAAATATCATTTTATAAGCAATTTCTTCAACATGACACGAAAACAACTGGATTGTAGTTCCTTTCGATGAAGAATTCTTCGAGGAAGCTATATTAATTTTGGAACTTTCGTTGTGTACCTTTAGCCAGTGAAATTTTCTAAATGATTACATTATCTTAAATGCTTCCCTGTGTATAATTCACGATTTACTACAGTTCAGTACATCTTTACACCGCTGACAGGGCTTCCGACCTAAGGTGATACCTAACGGAATAAGCCCCACCCAGTGGAAATTGTTTAATGAGAAAATCCTTTTTACAATAAATATTTTTACATAACAGTGAAAGTTATTAACAGTCTCCTTTGTATTTACATGCTACGTTGAACTAAATTTTGATGTACATTTAAATTTGATTTTAATAGAGTTCAGTATATGATAAATTATGCTATTAAGATATATGGCTTAAAATGAAGGAATGTTTCATTCAGGTAGTGTACAAATTATCCCAGCAGAAGCCGGTGCGGGTTTATCGGCGGGAAGTATTTGGTTGCAAAATTTAGGAGCCCCGAAGATTGTTGACGGCAGGTGACAGGTGACGGAAGACGGGGACGCCTGGTGTTTAACAGTGGTAAACAGGCATATGTCCCACGCCTTTCCCTGTGTAGAAGTAGCAACTTTATTTAAATTAATAAAAGTATTTACAGTGCAACAAGAGCAGATGAGTGATTGTGTTACATTGCAGTTCAGGATACATTAGCATGTCATAAATAGTCAAGTGCAAGACATAAAGAGAAAGGGTCTTAAATTAAAAAAAAAAAAAAAAACGAAAACAACACATTAATTACATAAACATAAGGCGTAATTAGATACCAATACTCTTCACTCAATACATAAACTTAAGCATATTGCCAATGCATGATAGTGTTGTATATTGGGAATACTGAGGTATTTAGAGATTCTATACTTACTACAGGGTGTACAGACAGAGAACAAAAGCTTAGTAAAAGCATGATACTTAATAAAATACAGGACAAAATACATGCAATGCATTGATACAATACATGAGACACGGAATACATTGATAAATACAAGAGACATGAAATACATTGAAAATTGAAACATAGCATGACTTTAGCAACTTAGAAAACACTTAAAAATGTGATATAGCGGACGTATTACAAAGGTATTAACAGAATACATAATGCGCAGATGCTATTGCAAAGATAATTTGAGTATTATAGAATTTGCGCAGTTCGTATAAATTACAGGAACAAATGTTATAATGAATACAGATACATGTGCAAGTGCTAATACTTGAAGGAAGAATGCGCTGAGACACTGATGGACGCTGATAGAACTGAGACACTGAGGGATTGGTGCACTACTGGGTACTGATGGTAAAATACATTTATTGGTGTATTAATGACGAACTGAGAGGCGATTGGCGGATTCAGTGAGGAGAGCAGATGTCCTGACCCATCTCCCTAGTGATGCTGACAATTTGACAAATTTTGGATATTGCAGGCTTATGTGTAATAATAAATCTATTAAAATCAATTAAAACAAATCTAACAAATCTATTGGAGGTTTGGCTTGGGGAGATGATGAGCAGTTGTCAATTCACATTCATAGAGGTAGTGAACCGGGGTGGGCCGTGACCGCCGCAGACGCATTGGTCAGTTACAGATATGTTGCGTTGAAAGAAGTAACTGGGGAAATGGGCCATGACCTGTTATGAATTGTGTAAGGGGTGCAATGGCGAAGTGCCTTTCTGTGCTGACTTTGGGTATAAAGTCAAAGGTGCGTCTTCCTGTGGGGCTGAGGTTCCACTCTCTCTGCCATAGCTGAAGACACTGTTTTCTTAGAATACTTTTCAGATGTGAGGGTGGTGCTGGAAGGCTGTTGAATTGGGCGTCTGAGTCTGTGACCGCTTGCTTGGCTAAGCGATCTGCAGCCTCATTGCCCTCGTTGTCCGCGTGGGCCTTTATCCATTTCAGTAGCAAGTTAATGTGTGCATGCCGTTGTAGAAGATGCTGTAATGAGATAATTAGAGGTGAAGTGTGCTGATGGTTTAGTAGTGCCTGCAGTGTTAAGAAGCTGTTCGTGTGGAGGGTTGCATGCGTGATGTCTTGATGGATGATGTGTTGAGTTGCTGCCTTGATAGCAAGAACCTCAGCCTGGAAAACGCTGTTCTGTAGTTGTAGGCGACCCTTCCATTCTTGTCGACGTTGTCCGTCCTGGTAGTAGACATAGGCACAACCTACGTCGTGCTCCTGCTTGGACCCATCCGAGTAGAAGTGGGAACCTTGCGTGGGAACTTGGGTTTCATTGGCATTCGAATGACGTGAAAGGTCTATCTTGACACCTTTACCTTTGACAGCCGGATGAGTGTGTAGGGGATGGCTAAGAGTTTCATACTGTATGGGGCAATATGTTGTGTTGGAAAGTGAGGCGTCCTTTCGCAAGTGTATTACTTTTTGTGTAGACTGCCTCCATTTCCACTATGATGTGTAGTGGAATCAGTCCCTGCAAGTACAGTCGCTGAGCTGGTGGCGGTGGTCCGATAGGCACGGGTGAGATTGAGGGCAAATGGTCTTTGTAGGCTTGTTAGCAGCTTGATTTTCCGGACGCTCATTGGCTGGGCATATGTGGCAGCAGCATAAGTAGCTATTTTTTCAGCTACAGTATGATAGAGTAGCTTTTGAATATGGTGACTTTGCCCCCAATTCTTTCCCTGGAATGTGCGTGCTTTTCTTGCAATAATTGAGGTTTTATTCCTCAATTATTGCATGTGGGAGCCAGGTGAGGCCAGAGTCCCAGGTGAGGCCCAGATACTTCAATGTCTTGACAAATTTAATGCTTTTCCCCTGTAGTTGGATGCAGGGGCGTCTCGATGGATTGGTGCCTGCTTTTGGAATAAAGAGGGCTGTGGTTTTTTCTGTAGAGATTTTGAGCTTTAAGGCAGAGCATGCATTGTCAAAGATAGAACATGTAGTAGTGCTGTTACTATCCAGCTCCTTCCGCGTACGGCCTTTGACCAGCAGAGCAGCGTCATCGGCGTATGCCACAACAGAGGTGTGTTGTGTGGCCAGTCTGACTCCAGAACAGGATTGAATGTTAAGTTCCAGAGAACCGGTCCGGCACAGGAGCCCCTGAGCGGCATCCTCTTTCCTGGCGTTTCATGGTAGTGCCGTTGTCATTGACTATCAGGAAGCTCCGGTTCTCTAGATAGCTGCAGAAGATGTTGAAGAGATTTGAAGGGCAGAGTGCTTTTCCGAAGTGCTTGTTTTATGGCGGCCCACCAGAGTGTATCGAAACGCACTCTTGCAGGTCAATGGAAATAAATGCAGTATGGTAACCTGCTGTGCGGTTAGCTTGTATTATGTCTTTGATGGTGCAGAGGGCAGTCATGTGTTGGAGAGTCTGGGACGGAATCCGAACTGCTTTGGACTGAGGAAGTATGAGAGCCTTTGGACAAGTAGTTTCTTATAGATTTTCCCCATCGTAGATAATAAGCAGATAGGGCGATAGGAGCGCGGGTCTTGTGAGCTCTTATTTTTCTTCAAGAAGAGAACCACTTGTCCTTGCTTGAATGCCTGAGGGAAGATCTGAAGGTATAGAAGTCTGTTGAAAAAGAGGCGGAAGAAGGGAGATCTTGCTTTATGGGCTATTTTGATGATTGCGTAGTCCAAGCCGTCCGGACCAGGTGCTTTTTTATTGGGTAAGATTCTGAAGATGTGTCGAATTTCTTTGTCCTAGAATGGTACATCATATGGCGTATTAGGGGTGCTGATGTTGTCTCTGATCCGACGCTGAGCAGGCGTATCTCCTTCAATGTTGTCATCTGGGAAGATGGCGTCCAGGATGTAGATAGCTGTGTGCTCGGCTATGGTGATGTCAGCGCTGGAGGTGGTGTCTGTATGTGTATCTGAGCCGGGCGGAAGACTTTGCCTGTAGTGGGATTGTTGACGGCGATAAGCGATAAGCAACGGAGGACGTGGGCACTGTCCCTTTACCAAAAGGTTAATCGGTATAGCACCACGTCCACCTATATCTAGAGCTAAAGAGGAATCACAAGACGCCACGCGCCGGGCGCCCAAACCCAGAGCCAAATTCAACCCGGGGGCAGTCCAACAGACCAAATGCCCACGAAAGACAGTCCCAACAACCGCCCAGGCCCCACATTTATTAAATAAAATAACAAAAGCATGCAGGGCCAAAAAGGGCGAGTTTGGACAATAAGCAAAAATTTTACAAAGGTGTAATACACACAAATATAGAATATACATAAGCTAAAGTACAGTCTGATGTTGGGCAGCCCAATAATATACAATGAATAAAATATAGACAGTAGAATTAGACTTAATGACAATAAACATAAAAATAGAGAACATAGTGAAATAATGAATGTAAATGATTACAGCAATACACAGAGGAT